ATACACATGGTGCCCAATTTTTTTTACTGTATTCAATAAGTAAAAATCATAAATTGTAAAAGATTATTATTACAGAATTAAGATTTGTTAGATCATAATTAATAAACCCAAATATTAGATGTATTAGAAACAACGAGTGGAAAATATATTCAAATCAGAATTCTAATTATGAATCACCACAAGCAAAATATGCAATTTTTTTTTTACTGTATTAATAAGTAAAAATCATAAATTGTAAAACTAAAAGATTACAGAAAGGCTACCTACATTTTTCAACCGATTTCAACAAAACTTCACTTTTTTTTGGCATGTAGTGTTTCTTATTGTCTTGCACACATTTTTCTTTATTTTTACATTCAGAATGCTTTAAAAATTCCATTTACAAGTCAATTCTTTATAATAAAATTCTATTCAATCGGTAGAGACTCATAACGATTGAAAACAATGGTTTTGTTTGAGTTTGGGTTTGAGCAATTCGTAAAAAAAAACAAAACAAAAAAACAAAACAAAAAAAATACAAATTAAGATATGCGTGTCCGTCAACCTTAAACAATAATCTTTGTCAATTTTATTTTTCAGTCTTTATGATGGTGGATATTTGATCTATCTCTTACTGTTATATCCCTGGGCAACGCCGGGCTCTACTGCTAGTATATATATATATGATGAAAATGTATTTTAAAGATATATTTATGGTATAAAAATGGTCAGTATCAGGGATAACAATTTCTTCTCTCGTACTTCTCACTCGTGAAACTCTTTCCCGGTTTTTTTGTTTTCAAATCAGCTTTGATCTTAAAAAAATCAAATTCAATATCAATTGTTAGCTTCTGCCCTTTCCATTCTTGTTCTTTGTTCTCTCTAGTATTTTTCTCATATTTTTTCACATTTTAGTGACACCTTTGCATCTTAGTGGCTGTATTGTCTTACTTGGTGCGATTTTATTAAATACACAGACATACAGACACACACACACGTATATATATATATATATATATATATATATATATATTATTAATAGAAATCTTATAAGCATAAGAAACTATACTCTCTCGGAAAACCTTCAGTGTTTTGATTTGCAAATAAACAAGCCAATACCAAAGGGAAAAAAAGGTATAAAAAAAAAAAGAATTAAGAACATGTACGTTAACCGAAAATAATCGTCCAGCATGCAAGTCCAAAGCCCAAAGAATAAAAAAACACCGATGCGAGTGTGTGTGTATATATATATATATATATATATATATATATATATATATATATATATATATTATAACTTCCTATTGTAAGGTTCTTGTTATAACACACACACGTACTTGGTATAATGTAATTCGTGAAATTATTATCTCTATGTAATGCTTAGGCTATATATATATATATATTATTAATAGAAATCTTATAAGCATAAGAAACTATACTCCCTCGGAAAACCTTCAGTGTTTTGATTTGCAAATAAACAAGCCAATACCAAAGGGAAAAAAGGTATAAAAAAAAAGAAAGAATTAAGAACATGTACGTTCACCGAAAATAATCGTCCAGCATGCAAGTCCAAAGCCCAAAGAAAAAAAAACACCGATGCGAGTGTGTGTGTGTATATATATATATATATATATATATATATATATATATATATATATATATATATATAACTTCCTATTGTAAGGTTCTTGTTATAACACACACACGTACTTGGTATAATGTAATTCGTGAAATTATTATCTCTATGTAATGCTTAGGCTATTGCTGTATAGTTAGTATGCTGAATGTCTCCAATACGACTGGCAGCTAACCCCCCCCGCCCCCACTGAGATGAGTTATGACACAAGGTCGGGATTATTGTGGGAGCATTTGCATCCGGGCCATTGACCAAAATTTACCCTGCCCCTGCACAAAAACGGGCCTGTGTACATTACTTGCCTGTTTTTCTCAGTCGAGTCGCTATCCTCTCACAGAATCCGACTGAGTGTCCCTCTGTCCGAAGAAAGACGTCTTGTCAGTCGCGAATCTGGCCGCGAACTCCCTGACTCCGATGCGACTAGAACGTTGTCGAGTATGAAGCATTGAAGAACATTGTGAGTACAATTTTTACTATTTCTTTAAGACTTGCTCTACAGGAATCCCTTCAATATGTCTGCCGGAACCATTTCCAATCAATCCGAGTGTTCCAACTACAACTGGAATTGTTGATGTCTTCATGTGCCACATTTTTGAGATTTCATTTTTAAAGTGCTTATATCTTGATAATTTTTGTTAAAATCTTCAAAGATACATTAAAATCTGCAGGGACTGACATGTCAATAAGAAGGCACATTCTGTTTTTGCGGTCTCTGGTCACGATCTCTGGGAAATTAGGTTTGATTGTTCTGTCTGTGTGTATTGTAAAACCAAGAAAATTGTTACAAGTCCTATCTCTTGAAGTTTAATTTCCGTAAAAGTTGCAGATTTTCCAATGCTGATATGATCATGCCGAGTTTTATATTTAGTGGGTGCCAATTCTGTAGAGCCTGATATTTATCACTGAATCTGCATTTTGGGCTGACATAATTTTTCAGTATGTGTGCCTGATAATTTCTAGTTAGCTAGCATTGGTCCTGTGCAGCAAGAATAAAACCTTCGGTTTCAGCTTTTAACCCGGCATGACGCAGCCACTGATGTTTTATTATTATTATTATTATTATTATTATTATTATTATTTTCTTTTTCGTTACAATTTTTATCGACCTTATATCTTTTTGTTTATACTATTTTTTCCTTCACCGCGATTCAAATTAATCAACATTTTCATTGTTTTCTCGCTTTTTTTTTTATACGGATCAAAGTTTGATGGTTAGTCAGATTAGCTATACTCAGGTGTCAGACGTCACGGAGCTCACAAGTTCGATCATGCAATAACAACTCAATAATTTTTGCCGGCTCATTTATTTTACACCTGCTGTGTCTTTTCAACAGAAAAATTTTTAATATAAGCACAAACAATAAAGATGAATACAATATTTCTATCGAATTCTTTGCCGATGAAATGAACGTCGGACAATAGAACTTGTGTTCATACCCCCAGCTTAATAGAAACACAAATAACATGAATATAACCTTTTCATTAAAGTTTGTTTCAATTAGAAAAAAAAACCCAGATTACTATAGATCAGATTATAAGATTTGTGTCAGTAAGCTTAGTTTAGTCTGGAACAAGGCAATAATAGTGGGGATCACACTCATACTTGCATAGTTCTCTTTTTCTCTCTATCTGTCTTTCTCTCTCTATATATTTGGCATCATTTGATGTAAAGGGCTCTCAGAAGTTTTAATCATTTTTTTTGCAGTTAGACTGGTAAAATACTGTCTCATTGTTGATCAAAATGTAACGAAATTTGGGAGTGCTATGGATTCGTTTTATACGTTTACAGATGGTACATTTCTCGAATAAATACTAGGTTAATCTTCCCGAGAGAAATGTAAAACCAATATATGTTGATACGACCCCGCTACTAATTTCCGTCAGATTTTGTTCCACAGTACAACACTACTCTTTCAATTTAATTAAAAAACGATTAAGCATTTCGGAAGCCCTTCTCATCAAAGGACGTCAATTCCTTATCTATCTATCTATCTATCTATCTATCTATCTATCTATCTATCTATCTATCTATCTATCCTGAAAATATATTTCAACTGAACACTGTTGAGTGATAAGCTAATTATATAAACAACCACCACCTGCGTTAATGCAAAGCTCTTCAGTAAGATGAATAGAGATCTACGGCTGATTGGCATTTGTTTACATTCGTAAAAACAATACGCTAGATTTAGCTGTTTCATTCTGATGAATGAAGATAGCACAGTAGTAGAAGCTCTGACTGACACCAAATCAGTTAGGTTTCGATTCTGGCTTGTGGCATTTAGATGTTTAGTCGCACTAAGGAGCTGTGATAAAGCGAAACAGTACTGTCTGCGAATGACATTATATATATATATATATATGGAGTTTAGCATTTAAAAACATCTCTCTTCAACCTTCGCTATTTAACTTTTAAATTTCAGCTTACCACATTTTATTCCCTTCAAATTACTGCTTTCAGTTTGTTCTTATTTTTACCACTACCTATCTTAGTAGTTATTTAGTAAGTTAGTCTGATATAAGGCTTCAAGATGGAAAGATAGCGAACTTGACCCTTACAAGACATGTTGATAGCAAGAGGGGCAGAAGGGAACAGATGGATAGTAATGAGACAAGAATTGTTTGGAGCTGTGAAGGACAGGAAGTTGTGGAGAGTCATGATCGGCAAAGTCCTGAAGGAATGAGCCTGCCTCTCTTGATATGCAGGAATCCTAAAACAACTGAAATTTTCATTAGAAACAAAGAAAAGAATGTTGAACTGCTGTGTCAATATCAATTCTCCTCTATGGTAGTGGATGCTGGAAAAATTCCACACAGATATAGAGAAACCTTGATGAAATTGAGATGTGGTGCTACAGAAAGTTTCTGAGAATACCATGGACGAAACATGTAAAAAACGAGGAAGAGGGTGTAACGTAATTAACAAGCTTGTTTAAATGGATGACAGAAGATGGTCTGGATGCGAGAGTAAGGGACGAATAATTCTTAGAGCTCCGAAGGACAGGAAGATGTGAAGCACGAAGATAAGCCACGCCCTGAGAGGACACGTTACATAAAAGAAAAAAAAAATGTTTCTAACGGATGAAACTTCACTGCAAAGATACATAGACTCCCTGAAAAAGATTATTACCTGTAGATTAAACTACCAACAGTGGAAAACAAGCAGACAAGACAGCGATATCGAGGCACAGGAGCTATCATGTAAACTCCTTCATATAATCAAATCCTTGAAAGGGCGGAAAGATCGGATGCCAAAAAAAACAAAAAACTTTTCATGGATAGGTTTTCCATCGTTTGTTAAGCACCCTTCATCGGTGAATTTGAAAAAGCATGCTTGGTCCATTTGAAACGTCGCTAACCATCTGAGAGTTAAAATTGGAGGTGGATGACAAACAAAACTTTTCGTTCCAGTTGCCAAGTCAAAAGCAAATCATATTTTTTTATCATTTCTGTTCTTCTGTACATTTCGCTTCAGGTCTTCTAAAAAAAGTGCGACACTGAGATCGGAAGACGCATTGGGATAGCCAAAGATGCATTCCAAAAGCTAAGCAGAGTATTAAGAGACAGAAAAAATATCGTGAGAAACAAAGAAAAGATTACTGAACTGTTATATATCTGTCCTCCTATACGGCAGTGAATTTTGTATAATCTTGAAGAGACTTGAATCAACAGAATTGTGATTCTAAAGAAAGATGCTGAGGATACCATGGTAGAGTCACCGAAGTTAAGCAACGTCGGACCTGATTAATACCTAAATAGGTGACATCCTGGGATGACCCGGTGCACTAATCTTGTATGGGTGGGTGGTGTAATGGATAATGGCTCGAAATTTGGAAATCGGAGAGCCGAGTTCTAATTCCAGTTGCGTTCGTTATTTCATTTAAGTGCAAATGTCCATGGGAAAATTATGAATCCACTTCTTGTCCCTCTAGTTATTGGTAAATTAGTAATACTTGTATCACTAAACTATTATTATCTAAAGAAAATCTTACGATCTAAAATATTTTCTGGCTTGAAATAACATGCAAAAGGTTGATAAGCCTTAAAATACGCATTAACCAATTAACATTTCAGTGCGTTTTATTTCCCTTACACCCTTTCTTCTTTCTACTTTACATTTCTTTCTTTCCAATACTTCTTCGCCGATTCATGTTTTCTTTCTAAATGTTTTTCATTGTCTGAGCGGGCGTTCTATAAAACATTCATTTTTTTCTACATCCTACTTTTTCTTTCTTTCTTTTTTAACCTATTTTCTTTCTTTCTTTCTTTCTTTTTTTCAACCTCATTTTTTTAGTTTTTGTCCTTCTTTTGTCAACCATATTTTACCTTCTTTCTTTCTTTCTTTCTTCTTTTCTTTCTTTCTTTCTTTCAACTTCCATTTTAGTTTCTTTCTTTTTTCAATCTCATTTATTAGTTTATTTCTTTATTTCTTTTATTCAACCTCATTTTTTAGTTTCTCTCCTTCTTTTGTCAACCATATTTTACCTTCTCCCTTCCTTCCTTTCTTCCTTCCATCTTTTCTTTCTTTCTTTCTTTCTTTCTTTCTTTCTTTCTTTCTTTCTTTCTTGCACTCTCCTTCTTTCTTTATAAATATGTTTTGCTCATTTCGTTATCTACCATTTCTATGCGTTCTTCTTGAAATAATTCTTCTTCCTCAACTTGACCATTTCTCTTTTTATTCTGGTTTAATTCTTCTATGATGTTTCCAAATCTATGCAAGCGAAATGTGGGAGTCTATCTTCGTAACCTCTCATTTATTCTATATTTTCTTCATATTAATATATCCACTGGCGACAATTTCTCCGATTCCACACCGACACGAAGCAAGCCTCATTTTCACCTTCTTCACAGTCATCTGACTGCTTCAATGGCGAAACAGAGACTAATTTCTGCATTAGACAGAAGCTCAATCCGACTCAGGTCAAACGAACACGCACATGTTAATTTAGCTATAGATGCATACATAATGATACTAATTGCATTTTCCGGCCACTGCTAACTACATTTGATTAATCCTGTTGGCCAATGCAGGCTTAGAGATTTAAAATCATTTCTCTTTCATCCACGTTATTTTCAGACATTTATTTTTATCCTTGTGCCGTGTTCCCTCAAGACGTAGGCAATCATGGCTCTCCACAATTTCCTGTCCTTTTTAACTCTTAGTAGGTTTTATCTTTTCGTTTTTTCTCCTAAACCCTGTTCCGCCATCAAGCTCACTAATGCTTTGTTTTCCTCTGTTCCACTTGCCTTCAATCTGTACTGTGAGTATCAAATTTTCCAAACCGTCTTTCTTCATTATGTACATTAGAAATGTCAACTTCTAGATGTTAAGTATAAGTTTCCTTTTTGTTTTCATTTTCTCTAAATGTTACAAGATCTAAACATTAGAAATGCACACGTTTAATCTTAAATAATTATCTCTCTCCAATCTCTCTCTATATATATTTATGTGTGTTTATATGTGTGTGTGTGTGTGTGTGTATATATATACATATATGTTTTTGCATGTATATATATATATATATATATATATATATATATATATATATATATATATATATATATATACATATATATATACATACATATATACATATATATATGTATATATATATATATATATATATATATATACACACACACACACATATATATATATATATATATATATAATAACGTACAATGAGTGTTGATAGTTAATAATAAAGCAGTATTTGACGTAAAATAAGTGTTAAAATTTTATACTCAGAATAATCACCGTATTTGACGGCATATAAGATGCACGGGTGTATAATGTGTGCACCCCAATTTCAGCAGGGTAAATCAAGAATAAATTAGTAATTAGTAAAATTAGTAATTAGTGAAATTATTAAATGGTACAACCTAAGCTATATTTATGAGGTATTATTTTGGTTAAATATGCCATGATTACAATTAAACGAAAAATAATAGGAAAAAAAGAACGCGAGCCTATAAAAACATTATTATATCCAAAGGTAAGAAAACAAAATAAAAATCAAGCAATTATTACAATTTATCAAAACAGTACAGTTACCATTAAAATTTTATTCATCTTCAAATCCATAAAATTCTTCGTCTTCGTTATGAAAACTCTGATACTCATTTTCAATACTACTATCATCGTCGTTAAATAATGTCATCTTCTGTTCCATTGAGAGCATTGCTAATGTCATACATTTTAAAAGATTTCACAAAAATTTCTGGTCTAATTATCCCAAGTTTGTTTCACCCATTCTCAGGATTGTGTAATGCTGGGGCTTTTTATTCTTCCTGTAAATGTAAGGTCGTGATCAATCATTGCCATCCACATGTTCCATTGATCATTCATGTTTTGCTTGAATGGTCTATTCAAAGACACATTCAGAGGTTGCAACTGACTCGTTAGTCCGTCAGGAATAACCGCTATCTCTGTTTTTAATTCTTCCACTTTCTTTTTAATGGATTCAGTCCTATGCGTTCAGAACTGTTGTTCATGATGACGGTCGTCTTTGAGTATAGAATCCAGAGGTTAGCAGTGAATATTTCGAAGACAGTAGGAAAACGTTGTTCAGGTTAGCAGTGGATATCCCGGTAAAAGTAGCAGAGCGTAGTTCGTCCTTCTGTTATCTCTTCGCCTGACAAGCTGGCACTGGACATTCGGGTAGGGTAAACAAAATGGCTGCCTTTATACACGACGGATTGTATATTCTACGTCTTCTGATTGGTTAACCTTCTATTGATGGACTATAAAATGAGTCAAGTCATTTGGACTGGCTCACTAGTACATAATGTATCCAAAAATTGTAACAGGAACTGATCCCAAACCAGAAGAGAGGGCTTTTGTAAGAGTCTACCATGATGTCTTTCCCATACAACATGTAACCATAACAGTAGAGGAGCTTCATGCATCCAGCCTTTTGGAGGAACATGAACATGCACACCTTTGGGTATTTTACCTTTCAGTGTAGATTTTTCTTTTAAAATTGTAATAGTCTTGAATCCCTTAAGACTCAGTTTTATTTGATGGAACATCAGACGTTAGTGGGACTTCATCCATATTTCCTATCTGGCTAGTTTAAAAGTTCTTTTTCGAGCATGGATAACACATTTATGAAACTTTACTTATTTTGTCATCATAGTCAGCTGGCATTCTCTGTGCAATTGACGTTTTTATACGCATTGAGAAACCTTCCTGTTTCATAAAATGATAACGCCATTCCGTTATGTGTGTATGTATTTAAGTTTTTTTTGTGTAACAATTGAGGGGCAGTGTGTGACATGAGACGCACAGAAATCAAAAACCCATTCACGTCCACACGTAAAAACCTACCGCGCTGAAAACTACAAAAAGACCGCAACGAACAATGGCGACACAGTTCACAGTAAGAACTAAATTTTATCCCTTGTATACCCCGTTACAACAAAAAAGCACGCACAAACTTACTGAGTCGTTAACAAAAACGATGACCACCCGACAAAATTGAAGTTCTATTTGCTTTTGAAAAGCAAAAGAAGAGACGTATAATAACATTTTTACTGTTTTTCACATGCGTACACGAATTATATTTATTTATTTATTTCTAAATTGGCCTTAAAAAGGAAGTAAAATAGAGTTAAGTTCGTAAAACATGTTGCCCATAATTCATGTCTGTCTCTCATAACTTTTATTTAACTAAAGTTCTTTTTTTTTCTTTTCAAAACAAATATAACTTGAATTTGGGCGGGTGGGCCATCGTTATTTTGCACTCTTCTCTTCAATTGTTAGAAAGAAAAAAAATGTACTTGGATTAAACGTAAATTACTGTTGAGTGGTTCAACCCTTTTTACACAAATGGACTCACCCAGTAAATACGTGAAGACCCGAGAGAGAGAGAGAGAGAGAGAGCAAGACCGCTGAGTCAAGTCCAGAGTGACAGAGTAAAAAGTTGTAGGTAACCAGAAGAGTGAGGGTGAGGTAACAGCGTTGTAGGAGCGACCGTGAGCGAGCACGTAGACTCAGTAAGAAGTCATACAGCGATACTTCAATGCCAAAGACTGTATATATATTTTGCTACTAACCCGTATTCCTGGAACTACTAACCTGCTTTACCAGTTTGTATTATTACGTTAATACATTATTTTCATATATTCATTCCTGGCGTTTGTTATGTATTGGTACCGGATTTCAACCGGGATCCACAACATTTACATACAATATAAGACATATTATTTATAATAATAATAATAATTATTATATATTATTTATAATACATTCCTTCTTGGCGTCAGTTTTGACGGACGCGAACACACAAATACATATATATATATATATATATATATATATATATATATATATATATATATATATACACGCAAATTCACACGTTCGTCCTCTTGTGCATATACACACCCATATATTTTTTCTTACGCACGCACTCTTTCTATAACTCTTACACACACACACACACACAGACGCCCACTCTCTCTCCCTCTCTCTGTTTCTCACTCTCTCTATCTCTCTTCTACATGCATTTAAACAAGTACATAAGAAGATGACATACAGGCATGTTCTCACTCGCAAAATCCCTCTCTATGTTCTTGGCACACACGTACATAGACACGCCTGTGTACACGTGTACACTTTCCCGCAAACACTTTGTCTCGCTCTTTTATACACACACACGCGTGCACACACTATCTCTGTTGCACACACTTTCTCTTTCACTTACATACAGGCGTAGGCAGACATCCGCACTTCCAAACACTCACTCTTTCTCTTTCACACACACACACACAGACACACACATACAGACACACACACACACAGAGACACACACACACACACATACATACAACCGCGCGCGCGCAAAAAATAGCACGTGCGCATGTACACATTTGTACAGGCATTTCTCACTCTCGTTCGAAAGAATCAAATAAAGCACGAACCAATGTTTAATATCTGATCAGGCGTTCAAAGCTGGTATTCATTCGCTGCCTTGTCAAAGTCATTTGCTTTCTGCCTGGTCACATTTTGCATCACCGCCACCACCACCACCACCACCAGCACCAGCACCTGCACCACCACCACCACACGATCTGCTGCCCAAAACCATGGAGTGTCATTTCATGCAAAAGCAACCGGCCGAAAAGCCATATTACTCTGTTAACAGACAAGCAAAGCCGACAAATATTCCCATAAAATTAAATAATTATTCTGAGCATAATTCATATTTCAGAAGAAAACCCAATAACTAAAATTACCAATGAGGTACAGTCGACCGTATATATATATATATATATATATATATATATATATATATATATATATATATATATATATATATATATATATATGCGTGTGTGTGCGCTTGCGTGGGAGCGTGTGTGTAAAGTCATAAAAATCAATACTGAATGGTGATTGTAGGTTTCACACCTTATCCGATCATCAAACCATGTTACTCTTCTTTGTTTGTTTATATATATATATATATATATATATATATATATATATATATATATATATAAAATTTAACTAATATTTGCACTGTTTTTACATTGAGCTCTCTGGATTGGGATTATCCGTACGCATTACCAAATATTTCTTTACGTAACTAACTAACTGACTAACTAACTAACTAACTATATATATATATATATATATATATATATATATATATATATATATATCTTGTGTGTGTGTGTGTGTGTGGCAAAAGACTTATTCATTCTTAAACGCAATCTTCAGGCCAATATATATATATATATATATCTATATCATACAAATATATATATATATATATATATATATATATATATATATATATAAAAGACATTTTTTATGTTTATACGTTCTTTTTATAGATACAAATATGTAACGTATAAACAAAAATATCTTAAATAATTGTCGGACTTTGTCCATTTCATAATGTATATATGTATAATGTGCGTGCGTGGTATATATATATATATATATATATATATATATATATATATATATATATATATATAATACCAATTTGTGACTGTACATATAATTCCAAGGAGGATATTATTCCAAAGAGAACACAATGTAAATTTAAATTACAGAGCATTATAATAAAAATTCAAGAAAAAACCCTTAACGTTCCATTTCGGTTATAATTTATTCCGTGAAAATTTTAATATTCATCTTTTCAGTTTGAAGAGATGAATATAATGAACACTACACAGCATATGAAGTGTGTGTATGTGTGTGTGTGTTTGTGTGTGTGTGTATATGCGTTTGTATATGTGTGTATGTGTACAAATGTGTTTACTAATTCCTCGTAATAAGGAAGTGTATGTATGGCGAAGGAATATACATATACATACGCATGCTGACAAAAACACAAGAAAATAGAAATAGATCTAAGAACACACACGGGTCATTTAAAGATAAGAATGTCGATAACTCCTTCACCATTTCTCGGACTAATCTTAATTGTTTTATAACCCTTCATGCAGAACCTTTCACTACCAGTTCAAGAAAGACTTTTGGGTCACTAAAATACAAAAAAGAAAATGTCACATATCGAGAATATTCAACATCGAAAGCATAAAAAATTATTTTTAATAATATGTGGAAATCTCCAACCTTTGCCTGATGAAAGTCGCGAGACCAGAAACACGTGTAGTAAAATTCTGGAAAATGAAGCATAATATTTTTCTAAATAAATCCACAATACAACCAAAAACGTTTGCGGCACCTCTCTTCTCTTCTTTTTAATATACACACTTTTCTCTCGTTGGAACCATTATAACCTCTTTCTCTTATATATATATATATATATATATATATATATATATATATATATATATCTTCAGGTAATGGGTTGAAGACGGTCGCGAGACCAGAAACCCGTGTAGTAAAATTATGGAAAATAAAGCACAATATTTAAAAAAAGTCCACATTACAATCAAAAAACGTTTGCAGTTTCTCTCTTCTTTTTAATATACACACTTTTCTTTCGTTGGAAGTACTATAACCTCTTCCCCCTATATATATATATATATATATATATATATATATATATATATATATATATATGGAGAGTGAGAATACACATACAGGCATCTGATATAGTTTGATGATTACTTAAGCCGAAGCGGTCTGGGTTGGAGTTTATTTATGGCTGGAACCTTTCGTTGTTTGTAGTTTAATATCAGTTCTTACAATGTGGCGTTTTTTATACGAGCCAGAAGTGTCAATATATATGCTTTATATATATATATATATATATATATATATATATATATATATATATATATATATATATATTGTATCTTTCTCTCTATATATATATATTTATATACTCATTAAAATTTCAAATACGTCAGTGTATAGATCAGTTATAACAAATTTAGTATGGCCGAAAAGAAAATTGAGTAGAGAATAGGCTGCGTTCGAGGTAGTTTTCCCAACTCTGCAGATTAATACAAACTAAAACGTTAAACTGAAAACCCGAATCATATTCTTAACTAGGATCGAGACTCTCATATGGATATCATACATGGCCCCATACTCGTTCTGAAATATCTAAATTGTCACTTGCATAAAATCGATTTCTTAAATCGATGGGTAAAAATAGCTTTCAGCGAGTGAAGTCTGCTGCCGTTGGTGAAGTTCACCTTTCTTCAAACATTGTGGACTGGCGCTACAAAATTACAAAGAACTGTACCAGATAATAGAAACCATATCGCTTGAGGAGTTTCATAAGCGGCAACAATTAAAATAGATATCACATATAACTCAAAGAGAGGATAATGACATAATTAAGATGTTGACATTCCATACTCCTTCAAACAGGAAGGAAAATCCCATCAATACTGGAAAGAGCGATAACAGCTACTGGACTTGAGGAATCTATTTTCCTAAAAAAAATTTTATAAGAGTAAAAAATTAATAAATTTTAACCGACAATCGTACTGGCTGTTCGGTCAATTACTTATAAAGAAACAATTAATGGTAATATTAATATTACTCCACGGCGAGACATTTATTATTTATCAGATATATTTTAGTTTGTCACAAGACCACAAATATGGAAAATACAATTCAGACTGAATAATTATTCTGGTTATAATTCTTACTTCCGAAGGACTAATAATCCGGCAAATAAAATTAACATGAAAGCAATAATATCATTTTTTATATATATATATATATATAAAATTGGACATTGAAGTCATTAATCCGTGCCGACAGTCTGTTTCATGCTTAAACGCAATCTTCAGGCTGACTTCAATGTCCATTTTAATATTTACATACGCTCTATTCCTGATATTGAGCACTTTAACTCATAAGTATAACATAGCTTAGGACTATTTTTTTATCACACACATACATACACACATATATACATACATACATATATATATATATATATATATGGGATAAAGTATGACAAAATAGAAAGATTTTTGATGTGACGCGTTTTGTCATTTAGGACTTCATTGGACGAAAGTGATGTTTGAATTGATGCATTTACACATGCATACGGAGGAGAGGAGATGCTGAAAATTATAGATTTTTATTAAAAAAAATTTTTGTCTTAAATGACGAAACGCCTCAAATGAAAACTTTCTCCTATTTTGTGATAGTTTTTCCTAAAATTGTTCTTGATATATAGACATTTACATATCGTGTATATATATATATATATATATATATATATATATATATATATATATATATATACTGTGAGAAGTTATGAATCAATTTTCATTTATACACGTTTGGTTAGAAAACAGTGAAAGTCCCTTGTTGATTATTTTTAACTATTTTTTTAATATTTCTAATAGATTTTTAATTTTTGGTTCGTATTTATAACTATTTCGGTAATTTCAGACAATACTATTTTTAAAACCTTTTCATATATATATATATATATATATATATATATATATATATATATATATATATAACATGGGATCATCATGGTTCACCCTGATGATCTCATGGTGAAACCTAGGTAGGTAGTTCCTGGCTCATTAGGAATTATTTATTTTACCTTTGCTCTACCTATTGAGCATTCTTCGTTTTATCTTATTACTCGCTGTTTTTTTTTCTTTGTACCAGAATTTTTAGTTAATGGACGATTTCTTTCGTCCTGTTCGGATGTTTCTTGTGCTTTCTTTTTTTCTCATTTTTTCCTCTTAAGCCAATTTATTTGAAAATTGTTCTATCCAGGTTTTTTCACCCACCAAGTGTGTGTGTGTGTATGTAATGCTGGATATTACTAGTCGAAGTTAACAATGGATATAACAGCCATTCTGCTGCCATTTTACAGGAGGTTTTATAAATATAGAATAATTTATTTTTCAAATACGCAAATTTCCATTTTGTTCTCTTAATGTCATCGTATTATAGCAGTAACACGATCGTGTTCCAGATGACTGGCGATGGAACAGAGTGGACTAAGAGATTCGTGTCATTATGCTGGATATTATGGTCTAAAAATCAATCTGTTTCATATTTCTTTTTAGTATGCTCATATCTATCTATCTATCTATCTATCTATCTATCTATCTATCTATCTATCTATCTCAATATATTCATATCTATCTATCTATCTATCTATCTATCTATCTATCTATCTATCTATCTATCTATCTCAATCTTTTCATATCTATCTATCTGTCTATCTATGCAAATGTATTCATATCTATCTATCTATCTAAATATATTCATATCTATCTATCTATCTATCTATCTATCTATCTATCTATCTATCTATCTATCCCATGAAGATGTTCATATGTATCTCTATCTCTCTTAAACTCAACATATCTATCTATCTATCTCAATATATTCATATCCATCTATCTCAATATATTCATATCTATCTCAATATATTCATATCTATCTATCTATCTATCTATCTATCTATCTATCTATCTATCTATCTATCTATCTATCTATCTATCTATCTTCAATCTTCTATCTATCTATCTATCTATCTATCTATCTATCTATCTATCTCAATCTTTTCATATCTATCTATCTATCTATCTCAATCTTTTCATATCTATCTATCTGTCTATCTATGCAAATGTATTCATATCTATCTATCTATCTAAATATATTCATATCTATCTATCTATCTATCTATCTATCTATCTATCTATCTATCTATCTATCTATCTATCTATCTATCTATCCCATGAAGATGTTCATATGTATCTCTATCTCTCTTAAACTCAACATATCTATCTATCTATCTCAATATATTCATATCCATCTATCTCAATATATTCATATCTATCTCAATATATTCATATCTATCTATCTATCTATCTATCTATCTATCTATCTATCTATCTATCTATCTATCTATCTATCTCAATCTTTTCATATCTATCTATCTATCTCAATCTTTTCATATCTATCTATCTGTCTATCTATCTCAATCTTTTCATATCTATCTAAATATATTCATATCTATCTATCTATCTATCTATCTATCTATCTATCTATCTATCTATCCCATGAAGATTTTCATATGTATCTCTATCTCTCTTAAACTCAACATATCTATCTATCTCAATATATTCATATATCTATCTATCTATCTATCTATCTATCTATCTATCTATCTATCTCTCTCTCTCTCTCTCTCTCTCTATATATATATATATATATATATATATATATATATATATATATACTCGACCGAGTAAAAAAAGAAGAGATTAAATATTTCGAATTTATAAGTGTGCAAACGTTCACGTTTATTTATGTTTTAAACCTAGATATTCATTATAGTTTGAAACTAACTTGGAAGCTTTTGCACTTACGAGCTGAAAATCTGACTAAATGACCAAACTACAAGTTTTGTTTTGAATCCTCTTCTTGGTTAAGAGGATAACTTTTCAGCAACCCCTTTTTATAACAAAGTATCCAGTCCTATGTGAAACATTTTTTTTAGATGAGGCCTATGTGAGAAAACCATTTAGTGTGATTACCGCAAATAGAAGTACAGTGTTGTCGGTCTTGGAGGCCTGTGGTAGTGCACCATCGATTCTGGTTCTCTCATTAATTCTCTCTTAATTATCCAAGAAACATTAATGAGTTAGGAATCTTTACAGAGAGAAGGAATGTTTGACGATACCGTGTCTGTAACGGAAGGAGTTGAATGCTCGGGACAAAGATGGCGCCGCTGATTAGAGTTAATTAAAGAAATGCATGAACACGGAAAAAGCAGAGAAACTGATTAGAATTTCTGCAAAAGATAAAGTAACGATTACTAGAAGAAGAAAGAAAGAACAAATTAAAATGAATGTAGAAGTACCAAATTAGTATCAACATATTGTCTGGACTTCCAAATTGAGTCATCACAATTATGCGCCTTGTTCGAATCTATATTTTCATTGCTGTTGTTTGAAAAGAAAATATTTTTCAATATGTTTCGGCCGATAAGTTTTCCGATCTTCTTAGTGTTGAGATGAAATTCCGAATATATTCAGTATTATTCCACTATTTATCCATCTTTTTTTTATAATGAAGTTGGCCTATGAAATAATAAACTTGTATCTTCATTACTTAGCATTTTATTGACTTCAGTATTTCGTCAGTTGCTCTCAGCCAGTCTCTGATTCCCGCTTTGAACGATATGCGGACCCTACATTCTCCATCTGCGGGTATGTAAGAAATTTCTTAAATCACCATCGGGATTGTCTTTTGTATTTTAATGAATATTGTCCCGAAGAAGGTTTATTAAACCGAAACGTCAGACGTCGACATTTCATTCATTTTAAACAACATAATTGCATTTAAGGATTTTTGTTTGTTTTTTCCAAATTTTTCTTCATTCTGTCGGATCTATATCCATTTACATTTGCTTACATATCTATCTATCCAGCATTCTCGTTTTCACGCTTGTAACACTGGTGTAAAGTCACGTACTCCTGTACTCAGTGGCCGGGGCAGATACCAGGCCAACGCTCTGGTGCATCTGGCTTCCTTTGACGGTTTGGCGTGATATTTGAGCAAGATGCCTATATCGGTACAATATTACATTCTTTTTCACTACGCTTCGACCGAAAACTTCTCTGATTTTAGACTTCTCGGAAATTCTGTGAGGATTCATTGGCATTATATTGTTATTTGAACGACTATTCTTATCAATGTTTTTTCTTAATCACTGTCTTTTGCCTAATACAGTCTTCCACTTTCGATGTCTAAAATTATTAGATGAATCTTTATTGATTGATTCGTTTTCTACGGCTTATCAACCCTTTCAGGTTATTTAAAGCCAGAACGTATTTTTATATTCTAAGAATATTTTACCGAGATAATAATGATTCAGTGATACAAATCTTACTAATTAATCCATAGCTAGAGGGAGAAAAGGTGAATTCATAACGTTTCCAAGGGTTTTTGTGCGTAAGTGAATATAACTGGGATTAGAATTCGATTCTCCGGTTAACAATTTCATGCCATTATTTATTACACCACCCGCACATCCAAACTTACAGCACCTGATATTCCTAAGCGGCTACCCATCTAGGTACAGACCAAGCTCAACTTTGCTTAACTTCGGTGATCGTACGGAAATTGATGTTTCAACTTAATATGGTCGTAGAGTTTGTTTTTTTTTTAAATCAATTCATCCCAAGCAAGGCGAGAATGCCACTAATGCGCAGGGCGTTACAAAGAGTGAAAGTGAGAGAAAAGACTTAGTATAGGGAGGATTGAAGAAAGGATAAAAGATGAACGGGATTCAAAAAGATAGAAGATCGTGATTGATGTGGTATTTAAATTTTTCAAGATAGAAGTTATCAGGGAAGCAAGTAAGCTGAAGACAGTTCCACAGGCAGGAAGTGCGAGAAAAGAAACTATTGGAGTAGAAGTGGCGGTTATATTTAACTACACTCTTGGGCAAATTAATTGAAACAAAACGAATAATTCCGTCGTTATTTAATTTCTTTTCATATGACCCAGTGCACATGTTATTACTTCGTATCTCCATTCCACGAATTCATTCCTTGCAGATTGACCATAGATTATCGATTGGATTTAAATCAGGAGAGTTTCCGGGTTAATCTATCGTATTTTGATTTACTCACTGGTAATGCTTGCCAGTGTGATCGTGCAGTGTTACAATTTTCGTACGCTTCCTTGGAGTAAGGTTCGTTGTAGACAATTGCCGTAGGACAACTAATCGATAATTGAGACAATAGTGTCTGGGCGTGATAAAAATCTGATGCAATCACGGATGACACAATATTTTTCAAGGCCAAATAAATTTCATCATACACCCCGAAAATAGATTCATATTGCTGCAGACCACTGCAAATAACCTAGTCTGAGGAAAAATAGAAATCGGTAATATCCGGTCATTCCAGTGGGTCTAAAACTCCCTGTATGTTGAAAGAAAGAAAACTAAAGCGGTTGTTTCAATTAATTTGCACAAGGGTGTATTTCATCATTAAAAGGGTCGGTGAATCTTTAGCTTCGTTTGCCGTGTTATTGTTGCTTCTATTGTAAAATCTTGAAAAATACTTGAGGAAATATTTTGATTGCTGTATAATGATGCTATGAATTTATACCAACAAAAGAGTTTATAAAAGAAAAGATGAAAAACTTTTGAATCAACCTTATAAATTAGCATTATAAATCAACCTTATAAATCAACCATATAAATTATATTACATGTTAAATTCAGATTCATTTATCAAATCGTGCTCGGCGTTATAAGTTGGTGAACGCGATTTTTAATCAACTAGTTATATTGGTGAGATCACAGCTCGATGCAATCAAATTTGCCAGATCTTGCCCCTCTCAATCACCTCTGAGTGGGCTTCTTCGTCGTCCACCAAAATCAAATTCACGCAAATGGTAACGTCAAATTGTTTGATTCACTTCCACCTCCGCTACTGCCATCATGGGTGGGTGGTGGTGCGGCAATAGGAAGAGAGAATGACGATCCCGATGTTCAGATGCGAGCGGGTACCGACGACGACGATTGGGGAGACCTCTCGACATTTCTTCAATAGTACACTGAAACGTCTGGCTGTCGATAAAAAGGCCTCAATTTGCAAAAATATATCAATCAAAAATAATATGAAAGTAAAACAAAGGTAAGGATCAAAGTAAAAAGTGTCATTTTAGAAACCGGCCGTTACAAATAGATTTTGGCTTGTTAAAAAGGAAAAATTTTCCAAATAAACAAGTTAAATCTAATATGGCAGTTTTGAGGATGTAAAAAACACCTTCTGTCTGTTGCATAAATCACTAGATTTCTTCTTTTCTTTTTTCATTCACTTCTTCACGTCTCTTTCTTAGAATTTTGAATGAGAGAATTGTCATCTCTTTGCAAGAATTTTGAATTACGGTAAGTTCCAAGTTTGTAATATGGAATTTGTACTTAAAAATTATACCAATAAAAATATTTGGACGATGAAGGGATTAGAATTCTCAAAACATGGTTTGGTTTGGTTTGGTTTGTTTAACGACATATCAACCTACGGGCTCGGAGAAACTCACATTAAACTCGGCCTTGTGCCACATACACTCCTCGTGGGGGGGGACTGTTAAATATCGGCATATCAACCTCAAAGAGGTTATTTATTGGCGACAAGATTTTTATTACTGGTAATATTTTTTTTCGAAAATGTACTGCTGGTAATCATTTTACCAAAATTAAAATCTATTTTTATACTTTCATAGTGTTTTGACGTCTTTTTTTGGGGGGTAACTATTTGCCGATAGCTGGGACCCTGACAGGTGCTACCGCAACGGTTCAGGGTGAACATGGGAACACCAGCTACTGAGAAGTGGTTCCATGCTCCTCAAAACCTCCTGTTCAAAAGCCTTGCTGCTGGATTAGCCAATACGCGGATGTCGTTTATTGTTTTACCCAGGACGCCTCAAAACATGTACCAAGACTCAATATATATATATATATATATATATATATATATATATGGGTAAATGGTAAATGACCGGACAGACCGGGACCTATAGCCTTAAGTCGCAATCAGTTTAGGAAAAGGTCAATTCTGTATTCAAAAGGTCAGGAGGGTAGTTTGGGGACGTTGTAACACGCTATGCATCAGTTTTCTGTATTTGATTCTTCCAAAAGGTCTGGCCCGTTCTGCACAAGCAATCACCACTGTAATCAAATCATGTGTGTAGATTGTCTGGCTGTTTAGTTCAAAGACTTGAGCTGCATGACTATCTCTCTGTCTCTGTCTCTCACTCTCTCTCTCTCTTTTATACACACACGCACACACACACACACATATATATATATATATATGACATTTTATAGACACAATATTTTAAGTAAATGCTCTGTTTATAATAAACAGTATTAAACAACATTTACCGGCCTGAATGTCAAAGAAATCTTCATAGAAAATATTCGTCTGCCAAATCGGTTAAAGGCACGTCAGGCTATATGACGGTTCCGTATAGGATACAGGTTCGATTCCTGTCGGAGGACGCATATTTTCTATGAAGATTTCTCGGACATTCAGGCCGGTAAATGTTATTAATAGTGTTTATTATAAACGACATTTACTTAAATATTTGTATCTATAATTGTCGGACTTTGTCCATTTCATTATATATATATATATATTGCTCAGAGCCGCAAGCGTATTTCGAATAGATAAAAAATGTTAATACTCAATTCCGTTATATATATATATATATATATATATATATATATAAAATGAATGCAGAATCCTTAAAAATTCATTAAGGTGATATTTTATACCTGTTTTTTTTTTCAATGCAGTGGGAAGTGTTCTGACAGAGGACGAGAAAATGTGGTACTGAGATCCGTAGACGTATTGGGATGGCCAAGGACGCATATTGCGAGACAAAAGGATTTCTTTGGTTACAAGAAAGTATACGTGACATCTGTCCTTCTTTATGGCAGCGAATGTTGGACGATTTCCTCAAAGGTGAAGAAGAGACTCGAGGCGACAGAGATGTGGTTCTACAGAAGGATGCTAAGGATATCATAGACCGAGCGTGTGAGCAACGATGAGGTCTTAGAGAGGATGCAAACAAGGAGGGGGCTTATACTTAATATCAGGAAGAGGCAGCTGAACTTTCTGGGACACATAATGAGGAAGGAGGGCCTGGAGAGTCTGATACTCACGGGTCAAATAAAGGGAAAGAGAGACAAGGGAAAACAACGCGTGACATACCTAGCGGGCTTTTAGCAAGTGGATGACAGAACGTTGTCTGAGGGAGGTGGCAGAGGGAAGGAACTTGTTGAGAGCTGTAGGGGATAGAGGGAGGTGGAGAGCCATGATCGCCTACGTCCTGGAAGGACATGACACATAGGAAGAAAAACACATGTAAGAAGCCGTTCTATTAATGTCGGCCATTTTTTTAAAAAAAGGAATAAATTAAACTCTTAAGATATTCTTAAAAGACTGAGAAGAGAGCTGATCATCTCAAAAGTTGGAATGTCACCGCAACTCTACATTAAATGCGCCACGGACAACTAAAGCAATTATTTTAACGATAAAATAAAAAAAACGGAAAAGAAAAGAAATAAAATCTATTCAGATTAATTGAAAATACAGCAAGACGCCGATTCGGGAGGTATTAGTTATCTCCCTTGGCTGTAAACTGATTTATACCAATGCGTTCTTTCTTTCTTTCTTTCTTTCTTTCTTTCTTTTTTTTTTCAACTGGCACCAAACAATTGAAAAGAATAGAATAAAAAGATATGCGATCAGCTTTACGGTTCTCTTCCCATTTGCAATCGTTTCGATCGCGCTGGTGCGTGATCAGGATGAGACTATAGATAAAAATAAGTAATTTAAATAAAGAAAATGCCAGCAATGATGGGCTTTTGGTAATTACTCACATTCAGAAAAATAGTATGTGCCTAGGTATATGTGTGTACATTTGCAAGCATCTACTATGTGCATGAGTGTATACACACACACACATATATATATATGCGTGTGTGTGGATGTGTGTAAAATTGTGTATTTAGGCAGCAATCCTTCATTTATACATGCTTCATTAAAGACGACAGACAAGCTATTACGATTAAGCTTTCTGTTTAATTTTTCTTGTGTTAGAACAAGTGTTTTCTTTTCTGGACACAGAGTGTGTAGAAACTATCCGAATTTTAAGAGTGAATTCCTACTCAGATACAAAATAGCAGTGATAAAAAAAACTTCCTAGAGTGAGCGCGCGAGAATTCATCCTCTTGTCTACTTTTCCTTAAGGAACTCAGCAATGCAAAACAAACACTAGTTAACAACGACTTTTCTAACCACCTCATCGACCACCAAATTAGACTATTTCTTTCCAAAGTAAATAATAATGATAGTGAACACACAGTCAAAAATAACATAAATGTTCCTTACAAAACCCAAATGGACGTCAACTACAAATAAGGTGAATCTTCACTTAGCAATATCATAAAGAAATACATTACTCAAATTGTCCCGAACAAAAAAAAACATTATCTATTACAAAAATTTGAAACAGCTAACCTTATCCTAAAAAGGAGAACACACCCGCAAAATCAAAATTACAACGAATGAATATTATTTACAAGTTCAAATGCCCCTTAAGGAACTGTGTTTCGGATCAAACCAAAC